CCATACTATCCCCTCCCTCAGTTTAAGTGATATTACTAATACCTCTTGGATCACATCTCCGCACTACTCCATTTTATTTTCCTGAGGAAACCATCAGTTTCAACTCTTGCTTTTGTTCATAGTTATAATTACACTAGAGGCCCGATGCACGATATTTGTGCAAGAATAGGCCTTCCTTCCCCCTGCTGCCAACACTGGCTTCCCTCTGGCACCCGGGACCCTGGACCCGGGCTTCCCTCACAGCCTCAGCTTTGTCCGGAAGGTCATCCGGAAGGACATCTGGTCTAATTAGCATATTACGCTTTTATTACTATAGACTAGAGGCCCGATAAACAAAATTCGTGCAAGGGGCTCAGCTCTTGCAGCCGCAGCTTTGTCCGGAAGAATGTCCAGAAGGTCTCCAGGAAGGTGTCCCAGTCTAATTACCAAATTACCCTTTTATTTGTATAGATAATATAGAAAACTTGAGTTCTTTGTTCACTTCTTGCTTTCTAGTTTTTCAGTCTCTTGGAATAACAGAGAGCCATAGCTGGTCTTGGGTTTGCAAGTCTATTTTATGCTGCCTCTATCTCTACATAAGTTAATATACTATTTCCTCTTTTCTTTCCAGCGGAACTTTTCCTGTATTTCATAACAGTCAATTTCATTTGGCAAAACCACTATATATCTGTCCTTTAGCCTGTATGCCTATAAAGGTCTATTTGGAATATCAGATCTTTTAAAAACCACTCCCAACTTTATACTCTAGTTTTCTAGAACACTAAGAAAGGAAGCCAATCCATATGTGAAGAGATCATTAGTGGGAAACTCTTTCAAGAAAGGTCTAGTTAAGTCTTTGTAAAATATTATTGCAAGGATACATTTTGAGAACAGCTTGGGAGAATTTCATTATTTTTCATACACACACATGAGTACTAGTGTAATTCACAGTTCCTGAAAATTTTCCTGTGATCACTCTGAAATTACATGGTAGGTAATTCAACATGGATATCTAACAGTTGGACATCTACCAGATATTCTTTATTAAAGCTCTTTGATTAATACAAGCACATATTTAAACCTATTAGTATTGTTTAAATGGTCCTGGAAGAAAACACTTTTATTTACTTCAAAATCTTATACTGATTACATGAACATTTGCTAATATCTATTTTTATGGGTAAATTACTTACTCAAAGTAGAGAGGTTTTCTTAATCCAAGATGCAAAAATTGAAAGCAAACAGTGAAAGCAAAAATTGAAAGCAAAACAGTGGAAGACCTAGTTTTCTTCTCTCTGTAAATAATCTTTATTTTAGGCATAGTTTGGTTTGTTTGTTGAATCACAGGCAAATTAATGATTGCACTTTATTGTGAATGTTCATCTTACAGAGTTTAAACATCTTCCAGAACCTAAATAAACGCCAGTTTGAAACAGTTATTCATTTGTTTGAAGTTGCAATAATAGCAACTGACCTGGCTTTATACTTCAAGTAAGTACAGAACTTCCTTATACCTGTGTGGTTCTGCCTTCCATAAATGGTCCATTGCAATGAACTTGAAGGACATTTATTCACACACACATTTATTATTCTCCTTTTGGGTTATCAATAAAACACCTTCAAGATGCATGACAGTGAATTTCTAGACATCTGCAAACTTTTAAAAGCTAAGCCCCTAATATTAAATAGTTTATCTGAAGAAGGTTGAGTTGAGGAATATTCAGCAAGATTGTCGCATTGCCAGAAGGGTGATCCCACACAACCTCATGAGGTGGCTTTTGTCCTGAATTCACCATGGTCCGGAGTCTGGGAGATGAACAATCTTGGTGATACTGATGCAAATTAACCAAACTCCCAGAATTCTGAGTTATATACAGCAGAGTGCCAGCTTATTTATTATAATAATAGTTACCAAGGACCAGATACTTCAAGCTTCTGCACATTTTCTTGTCAGTGAACCATAAAGCTGCTTGGTGAAAATGGATTAGAACAAAGTGAACAAGTTATAGGATCCAAATATTTAATGACTTTGATGGGAAGTATCAAATTGTGCCTCTCTGATCCTTCTTAATTAAAAATTTAATTATTAGATAGTTCAAACATGAAGACAGATACTTAGGATAATATAACTCAGATTCAACAAATGCTAAGATTTTGCCACACCTGTCTTATTTTTTTTTAAAGGAGAAAAAAAGTGATAGAAATGAGATATTTCCCCCCCACACACACACACTCCACCATGAAAGACCCCTCCTTTCTCCCTCAAAGACATGACCATTCAGAGGCTGATGTGTATTTGTGTATTCCTTTCCATCCATGTTTTTATATGGTATTGTGAAGTAGATTTAAAAATTTCCCATAAATGGTATCATACTGTATATACCTTTCTGCAACTTGCTTTTTACATGCAACATTTTCTTTTAAAGATTTGCCTTGGCGGTAAATGGAGATCCAGTTAATTCGTTTGAACTGTATATTCAACTGTATGCATATACCATAATTATAATTAATTTAGCCATCCTTCTATTCATGGAAATTTAGATTATTTCAAATTTTTCATAATTGCCCACAATACTGAATTGTATGTCCTTGTATATATATATATGTTTCCTAAAAACTCTCCCTAGAAATGAAATTGCTGTAGGGTTTGCATATCTTCAATTTTACACCTCATTGTGAAAGGTGACCCAACAGAGCTTACGCGCAGTAAGACAATTTAACTGAATAGTACAGTGTGTGTAGAGCTTGTCTCAGATATAGTCATGCAAATATGGCTATACTTTATGCACATATATATTATAAAATGTAACTTCTTACCTTGGGGTCCACACCCACAAGAGTCATTGGATGTGCTTCAGGAGATCTGAAAAGCTCATGTTAAAGATACCTTTTTACCCTCTGGTCTTATATGCTATTGCACAGCTGTATCTTTTTTAGGAAGAGAACAATGTTTCAAAAAATTGTTGATGCCTGTGAAAAAATGGAAACTGAAGAAGAGGCCATCAAATACATAACCATTGATCCAACCAAAAAAGAGATCATCATGTGAGTAGTCAGAATTTTATTCCTATTTTGGCAAAAATCACTTATTTTGTATTTCTTTCTATATTAACAATTTTTTTTCTTCTAAAGGGCAATGATGATGACTGCATGTGACTTGTCAGCTATAACCAAGCCCTGGGAGGTTCAAAGTCAGGTGAATAAAATTATGTTTCCTTTTCTGTCACACTCGTAGGTCCCACGTAAAAGGGAACGTGAGTATATCAGGTAACCTCAGACATTTATTCACACACACATTTATTATTCTCCTTCTGGGTTATCAATAGAGTTATCAAGTGGTATTATAGCTATCACTTATTTGAAATAATCTAAGTGTCCATGAATAGAAGGATGGCTAATTAATTATGATATATCACTTATATGAAGCTATTATCTTCCATTACCCTGGACTTGTCCTCTCAAATAATCAGTTTATAATTTAAAAAGATGGAAAGAGGAACTTGAGAAGTTAAGACAAAGATAAAATGTTCCCTGTTGGGTATGAAAAAAGGCAAATTGCTTTCATGAGCTCACAGATGTAAGACAATAGGTCTTTTTGATCAGGCCCCAGAACAAGACAAGTAGAGGGAATATTAGAAAGAAAATGCTTTCCTGAAAGTATTCCTTATCACTGAACAGGCAATAAAAAGTTTACGTACAGTTATTCAGGGATTGTGTGATAAATCAGCACGAGGATGAATCATTAGTGCTTTTCTCTTTCCAGCAATCCCTTCTTCAGTGCACAACCTCCCCCCTTTGTTAAACTTAAATTTACTCCATTTTCCTTGTTCCATAACATTCATACTATTACTGTTATAGCACTTACCACACTGTATACTAGTACATGACTGCCTTCACTAGACTGTGAGCATCTTAAAGAAAAATGTCACATCTCATTCCTCTTGGCAAGCTTGGCTCATGCCAATATAAGGCAGCTAGTAGGTGTTCAATAAATTTGATATTGGGTTTTTAAAAAGGTTATAAATAAACCCTCAAATATCTGCACACTGTAATCAAGTAAAGCTGTGTTCTAGCCTTTGTGTGCATATGTGTGAGTGCGGTGTGCATCACACATGCAGATAGATGCTAGATGCTAATAGAAGCAGGACAGAAGGACTTGGGAGGTTCCAGAGCTTGAAGCATAATATAATGGAATTAAATATCTTCCCATTTCCCTTTTTTACTGTTGAGAGATGGTGACAATAGCAACTAGGAGGTAGGCACTCCCAGAATGAGTTTGGAACACTGATAAGAAGAGAAATTCTCCTTTCCCATTTCCATATGATCTGTAAATGTCATCTTTTTAAAATCAAAGAGTATGCGGTATGACAATATGCTCAGAGGTACTTTAACAGTAACTATAAACCCTGTCTTAAATGTCATTCATACTAATACAGTGAAGA